GAGGGGCTCATTCCAGTGTGAACCCCCCAGCTCTTGGGGGGAGGGGCTCATTCCAGTGTGAACCCCCCAGCTCTGGGGGGAGGGGCTCATTCCAATGTGAACCCCCCAGCTCCGGGGGGAGGGGCTCATTCCAGTGTGAACCCCCCAGCTCTGGGGGGAGGGGCTCATTCCAATGTGAACCCCCCAGCTTTGGGGGGAGGGGCTCATTCCAATGTGAACCCCCCAGCTCTGGGGGGAGGGGCTCATTCCAGTGTGAACCCCCCAGCTCTGGGGGGAGGGGCTCATTCCAGTGTGAACCCCCCAGCTCTGGGGGGAGGGGCTCATTCCAGTGTGAACCCCCCAGCTCTGGGGGGAGGGGCTCATTCCAGTGTGAACCCCCCAGCTCTGGGGGGAGGGGCTCATTCCAGTGTGAACCCCCCAGCTCTGGGGGGAGGGGCTCATTCCAGTGTGAACCCCCCAGCTCTGGGGGGAGGGGCTCATTCCAGTGTGAACCCCCCAGCTCTGGGGGGAGGGGCTCATTCCAGTGTGAACCCCCCAGCTCTGGGGGGAGGGGCTCATTCCAGTGTGAACCCCCCAGCTCTGGGGGGAGGGGCTCATTCCAGTGTGAACCCCCCAGCTCTGGGGGGAGGGGCTCATTCCAGTGTGAACCCCCCAGCTCTGGGGGGAGGGGCTCATTCCAGTGTGAACCCCCCAGCTCTGGGGGGAGGGGCTCATTCCAGTGTGAACCCCCCAGCTCTGGGGGGAGGGGCTCATTCCAGTGTGAACCCCCCAGCTCTGGGGGGAGGGGCTCATTCCAGTGTGAACCCCCCAGCTCTGGGGGGAGGGGCTCATTCCAGTGTGAACCCCCCAGCTCTGGGGGGAGGGGCTCATTCCAGTGTGAACCCCCCAGCTCTGGGGGGAGGGGCTCATTCCAGTGTGAACCCCCCAGCTCTGGGGGGAGGGGCTCATTCCAGTGTGAACCCCCCAGCTCTGGGGGGAGGGGCTCATTCCAGTGTGAACCCCCCAGCTCTGGGGGGAGGGGCTCATTCCAGTGTGAACCCCCCAGCTCTGGGGGGAGGGGCTCATTCCAGTGTGAACCCCCCAGCTCTGGGGGGAGGGGCTCATTCCAATGTGAACCCCCCAGCTCTGGGGGGAGGGGCTCATTCCAGTGTGAACCCCCCCAGCTCTTGGGGGGGGGAGGATTCATTCTCTTACCCAAATCTTGAGTGTTGGCGTCTGATCTCCGCTTCTACCAGACTCCTGGGCCGAGGGGGATACTCCTGTTTGCTCCCCCCCCCAAAAAAAATCTGAGGGGCCGACTCCGCGGATTCCTCAGAGTCCCATTCTTGGCCAACTTCATTAATTCAATCCATGATTTGCTGTCTTTTTGCACACCAGGCCCCTCTGAGCTATGCGTGACGCCGCCTCATTCAGCAAGATCGGGGGTCGGAGATGGTTGCCTCCCCCGATACTTGTTCATGAACCTCCAGGGAAGTCATGCATTAAATAAGTCCTGCCTTATCGCCAATGCTTTTCTGTATTTAAAAGCAACACACAACTGCTCTCTGCTATGTACAGCAGTGTTTCTCAACCTTTTTTTTTAAATAAAGTACCCCCAGTACCTACAGTTTTCAGGCACACAATTTTTTTTTCTAACATTGCAACACATTTGTTCAAACAACTTAATTGTAGCTGGGTGGGTGATGCAATTTTAGGTGTAAAAAGTACAAAAATAATAAAGCGTGGTAAAACTTAAAACAAAAATTCAGTGTTCTCCAAATTTCAGTTGTGTTGATGTACCCTCCAGACTTCTCTCAAGTACCCCTAAGGATAGTTGTTGTATCACTGGTTGAGAAACACTGATGTATAGAAGTTCTGCTTTTAGTTGTCCTAACAAGCACTTAAAGCTAGGTTATATGTAATATATATATATTCTAGATTTCTAAGGGTATTAATGCATTAGTCTGTGTCCTTTAGTACTAATTTGTTCTGGTGCCAAAAAGTCCTGTAGCATCTGTGATGGTAGAATTCTAGCCATAGTCATAGGATGATTTGGGGCAAAACTCCAGGACCTCATGCTTTTGGGGGCCCTGCAGTGCCCAGGGAAGTCTAGGGGATTAGTGGAGGGCCTGGTGCTGGCAGCAGAGTGTCGCATTCACCAGTGGTGACAGAAAGTGGAGTGACGCAGCTGGGAGCTGGCAGAGCAGAGCGGGCTGGGGCCAGGTCGCTCTGCTTCCCACTGCTGCTGGTGAACTGGGGGCAGGCCTGACCCCTGCTGCCAGTTCCAAGGCCCTGGCTGCATCTCTGGCTGCATCATTCCGGGAAGGGATGGGGAGAGAGAAGGCAGAAGTGGGTCATGGGGAGGGGGCTTTGTCCTGGGTCCTGCACCCCATTAGGAATGGTTCTGATCCTAGTGTGTATGTTACTGGCATATTGGGGCATCACTCAAAGAGGGCAGAGTTAAGGTTGAATTGTGGGATAGTGCATTTGTATTTCCTGTTTTTTCAGATTTAAATGTGCATTCCCGTTACTCATCAATTCCTCGCTTTCAGTATAGACACTCCTGACATTTTGGAAGGGCAAGAACTGTGACTGGGCAATCTCAATTCTTAATGAAGTTTTGGGGCATTGAATTCTAGCAGGAGTCAAGAATAAAAAAATTCCCTGTCTATAGATAAACTCCGCTGACAACCATGCTAGCCAGAGTTAACAGAATTCTTAGTCCTTTTTAGGATTCTTTTGTCCAAATATCATTTGTTTGCGGACCACGGGTAGGAGCCAAAACAAAAAAGTAGTCAATATAATTGTCTTCTGTTGATACGGTTTTTAGTAGTTAAATTCCTGGACTGTCATTGCTCATTAAAAGTGCTGTTATATGGGTAGAAACTGGGTGAATATTGCATTTAATTAATATCAGCAGAACTGACTTAAATGGGGCCTGTGTGCTGTGTAGTCTTGCTTTAATTTTTGTATTCATGCCCATCAGTGTGAAAGAAGCTATTTGCATATATTTGCATGTCTATGCAACCACACTTAAGATGTGGCCCTCGGCATGTGCTGTGAGTATCATTGTGGCCCCCAGGGCTTCCAAAGTTGAATAGCCCTGTGCTAAAGTGATTTGCCTTCTCCTTAGACCTCCAGCAGATCATAGAATCATAGAACTGGAAAGGACCTCGAGAAGACATCAAGTCCAGTTCTCTGCCCTCACTGCAGGACCAAACATCATCTACTCTTGACCATCCCTGACAGGTGTCTATCTAACCTGCTCTTAAATAACTCCAGTGATGGAGATTTCACAACCTCCCTAGGCAATTTATTCCAGTGTTTAACCACCCTGACAGGCAGGAAGTTTTTCCTAATGTCCAACCTCAACCTCCCTTGCTGCAGTGTAAGCTCGTTGCTTCTTGTCCTGTCCTCAGAGGTTAAGGAGAATAATTTTCCCCCTCTTCCCCACAAAGTGTGTTCTTTGGTTTATTTCAGTGTTTCTCAAACTGTGCTCCACAGAGCCTCAGGGCTCCACGCGACATCTCCACGGGCTCCGCAAGGTTGACAAACTGGAAACATCGATAGGTACAACACATACAGACTGCTGGTGCTCTGCATAAATTTTTACGCATGTAAAGGGCTCCGGAGCCCAAAAAGTTTGAGAACCGCTGGTTTATTTCATAAGTCCCCCCTCTAGTGGTGAGCTGATCACACTAGAATCCTGAAACACTGGATTCAGCAAAGCTGGGTTTAATGACTTTGCTGTGTCAGGAGTCCCAGAACAATTGCAGGCAACAGTTTTTATTCCGCAAGGGATTCTAGCACAGGGTTGATTTTGCAATGGACTTTTGGTCTCAGCACTGACCAGCTCCATTGGGATAATGTGTATAGTTGAAAGAGTTTGTGTGTCTGTCTGTCTGGTCAAGCACTCCTCCTAACCGGTAAGAGCTAGGACCACCAAATCTGGTCTGCAGCTTCCTCTTGTCATTATGCAAATTAAGCAAGGTCAGGGGTTGGTTGTGCCAGGCCAATGGGACGGGTCTGGAATGGGATCGCTTCTCAT